TGTGCTCAAATATACAGTATTTTAGTTCAGACAAATTGTCGATTAAGCTGTTCTCGTGGACATGTTTCTCTGGTTGTTGTCAGACATTGAAACGAGTGTGATATTACGACTACAAATTCCAATGTTTCAAAGCTGCTGCTCTGCAATGCTAAACTCCTGATCTTGTAAACAAAATCACCACACGTTAGGTAAAGTCAATGGCTGTGATGAGCTTTTGGTATTATTTACTTGTGAAATTATCTCTTGAATAAAAAGTTAGACGCTCCCTCATCCACAGTATACCAGCTGCTGTGCAGTCAACTGGATACAAAGTATAAGTGTTTGTCTGAGGACAGCCCGACCTCTCTTCTGCAGAGAGAAGCTAATGTTAGAAGAGCAGTAAGTAGATATATTTTTTAGTACCAACGTGAACACATTTAGATTCATTCCATTTGAATTAGTCTTGTCTTGCTTTTCAGCAGGATGTAGTTCATATTTAAGAGTAATTGATGATGAATGTGAGATGAGTCCAGGCTGTGACTGTGTGTGTGTTCGATTAGGCATCGTCATGTAGTTCATTCATAGTTGTACATAGTCAGAGCATCCTGAGGTCCAGTGAACAACTCCTGTGTCAGAGGCCTGTCTAAATCTGCTGACAAAGACACTAAGTCGCCAGCATTGCCTGTAAAAGTCCCCTGATCACAAAAAGAATACCTGTTGAGGCAAATTTAACATTCATATTTTGTTGCAATGTTGTCTATGGGTGAAGAAAGTCTACTAATATCCACCTTGAAAGCCATGTGCTCCAGAAAGAAGCTTGCTCCATTGTTCTTCTCGTTCTCATAGCGACTGCCAGTGCTGATCCATAGACCAACCTGTGACAGAGAAGAGACATGTTCATCTTCAGCTCCCACTGGGCAAGACAGTGAAATAGTGAGTTAACAAAGTGTTATAACCGCCCATTAAATGGTTGTGAATAGACCCTGTTGTGTTGTGATCTTACAGTGCATGTGGCATGTCCAGTCTCCTCAGACGCGATCCTCAAACCATTGTCGAGAGCAGTGAGGTGGGTTTCAGGGGCTCCCACCAGGCTCTGAGCGTAGCTGACCGAGGCCTGGCCACGCCTGAGAGACAGCAATATGGGCTGAAAGGGTAGGGATGCAGAGAAGCAACCATAGTCATTTAAAATTCCTGTTCAAATAAAACTCCCAGTAGAATCAATTACTTATATATTGTACTACACAATCTAAAAGCTTAAGATGTTATTGTGCTCATTAATAAGAGTGCAGATTCACAGTTTTCTCACATGAACCATTGATAACAAGCTGTAATGGGAAACTTATGTTTTGCTGTATCAAGCTTTAAACTCTTGTTTATCCATTCACATTCAAATCAGGAGAAGAAATGTTTGGCACAGAACGGCATCCTAACTTGAGACTGACACCATATATAGCTGACACACACACACACACACACACACAGTTAGGTGAAATTGTGCCCATTAAATTGCACTCTAAGATCAGAGTGTCATTATGGAGCCTTTTGATTCTTTATTCTCGCAGATAATAAATTATTTCTATGTATATGATTAAATTGACTGCAACACTTTTAAAATGATGGTCGATCAATAGAAAATCCCTGCAATATGCTGTAACAGACATTGATCCGCTGTTACAGCATATTAAAGGGATTTCTTCACAGTGCATGTTCAGTGTCACAGCTTTCATGTTATTATTACACAAGTACTTCAACAATCAAAGATCGACCAGTATCATTATCTCTTTCCAAAGTCACCGTGCTAACGCTGTTAGCCCGGAAGCTTAGCGGCGGTGTGGGGGGCAAATGAGGGCAAGCGACAAAGCTGACAGCTGCTGACCTTGTGAACGAACCGATGCGAGTGAAACAACGTCACGCTGATAGTGACAACACAAATACAAAGTACATGTAACCTATGAAGTGGTTGTAACAACAGGTTCTGGCTCCTACACCAGGTGACCTTGCGTACACTAGTAGCTAACTAATGCTAACCGGTTAGCTAGCACCTATCCGCGTCTGTGCTGCTTAACAACTGGGTTAGCCGGTTAACAACAGCGGAGCCGAAACAAGAGCAGTACACACACACAAGTCATATTCTAAATTCATCTTCTGGTTCTACTTTGATTCAGTACTCACACTGCGCGCCTTGGCGAGGGCTCGACCCACGGTGCTGCCGACTTGGCACAGGGACGACGCCATTTTTCGGAACGGTTACAGGAGGCAGAGTGACTCTTCTTCTCCGTCCCGTGAAAATGTGCCCCACCTCTGCAGGTGCACACTACCGCCACCAGCTGTTCAATATGCGGTGTTGACGTTGAGCACTAGAGTTTATTTTTTGTTGAGTCAAATGACAAAATAACCGCAATAAAAAAACTACATTGTGACTCTGACATTTCTTATTTGCATAATAAAACTGCTTATTGTGATTTTCTCTTTTGGGAGATTTAATTGTTTTACATGAACAGTAAATTAAAATCCGACATGTAGATTCTTCTTTCAGTTTTTTGTAAAGCTCATTAATCATGCATGATATTTATCATTCATTATGTTGTTAACATAGCTCTATCGAGGTTCCTGCAGGTTTCAGAAAGTAAAAATTAAGACTCTTTAAAACCAAAATGAAGGAAATTGAAGATCTATGTCAAGTTTGACAGATATGAAAGAATATCAGTGTCCCAGAATCACTTACATTTTCCTATAATTGAAGATAAGGTAAAGTAAACTAGTAAAGAATAACTGTGGATATGCTATGTTATCTTAAAACACAGACGGAGACTCTAGGTAACCACAGCTCGTTTGTAGATTCAGTTATCAGTTCTATGTTGGCTTTCTTTGTAGTTGTATTACAGCAATCCAACCTAGTTCAAAATATTCTAACATATTTAAGTATTTTGCATAAAATTCAGAAGATTACATTTAAGACCTTTTAAACCCCAGAAGGAACCTTTTTCTAAACCCAATGAATGAACTATTTCATTCAGCAAGTTAGTTGTCCTTTTGCAGGATGTACAGTTATGAACCTACTTGTTTTTAGGCTTTTGTCTTCATGCTGGTTGAACTGCAGGACCTTCTTATCACTGGAAAGATGCTTCTGCAACAACAGACATTAGGATTGTCATATACTGTCTGGACATGGTATGCTGCAGCCATCAGTGACCGGGTGTCACCAGCAGCAGTCAATGTTCCACAAATAATCCATTCATATACAGTGATTAAGACTCTCAGCTGCAGGTGTCATACATCTTGGTGACCAGCCTCCATCAGTCTCAAGGGCAGTGGACTATAAAGTGGGTCAAGTGCAGGAGACAGTCTGGCTTCAGCTCAGGTTTGTCCCTCACACAGGCACGTGCACAGACACACTTGTCTAATCTGTAAAACAGTAAAACTGTCTTTAAAGTCTCTGTCTGTCTGCTGTATATGTCTGTATCTCTCTCCCCCTCTCGCTTCATTCAACATGACAAACGTCAGTTAACAGCTGGACAAGGCTTTGAAATCATTCATTAGTACAAAACATGTAGGCTGTGATATGCATGGATGCTCTTTGTATGAAAAGGCAAGTGTTTTCAGCGGGTGTCACGCCTAAATGCTCCCCAACCCCCTTTTTTTTTTTGTTTAGTTTTTTTGTGTGTAGTAAACGTCGGGCCACGTAATGTTTTCAGCGGCGCTATAATGTTAAGTATTGTTGTTACTTTTGCACCAAACACTGTAAGGGATTGCACAAACACTGCCATTACCTATTTGTCTGACGCTGCGGGTCAGAGCAGACCTGCAGGCTGCACAGCTCTGCATGAGAGCTAAATGAAGGAGGAGGAGGGAGGGGCAGAATTCTCACAAGAACTCAAATAAATGCCCGTCAGATATCAAATCACTTTTGGTTGGAATAGATAACAGACAGGGTAATTTTTATTTTTTATATATTGATGAATGAAGAAAAAAGTTGGGCTCCAGCAGAAAGGACACTTAACTCATCCAGGGCAAAATGGCAGGTGCTTGAGCAGCACTAGGGCTCTATGTGCGTACGTGCCTGCCCTCACACCACAGGAAGGGTGGGATATATTTATCTGTAACCTGATGAATAGAAGCTCAGAACTGGTTCCTACAATGGGAGGGTGCACCACAATCACACTACTACTTTCTATTTTTTATATTAATAATGTGTTTTTCTGTAAAGCAACCGAGAGTTTAAGGTCTATACATTAGTCTGTACTTAGTTTAGGTTTACTAGCATCAGCCTTCTCATTGGCAGTTTTTAACATTAAATTGACTGACAGCTACAGCACTGGATGATCGTGCGTGGGGGCCATGGTGTAGAAATATTCCTTTAGAAGTTCATCATGTTATTTTTAGATTAGATTAGATTAGATATACTTTATTCATCCCACAACGGGGAAATGTGCTTATTACAGCAGCAGAAAGAAAGTGCAGTATACACTACAGAAATTAAAGTGGAAAAGGCAAAAACACAAAAACATATCTGTATATATCTGTGACCTACACAATAAAGTGCTGAGGATAAAAAAAGTGGCATGATATAAAAAGTATTGTAATGTAAAGTGACCATGATATAAGTAATATTGCAAAAGTAAGTAACCATGATATAAATAATATTGCAAAAAGTAAGTGACCATGATATAAATAATATTGCAAGGCATAAATGAAATAAAGTTACTTTACATATTCCAATGTAAAGTGACCGTGATATTCTGCTAAAGAAGCTTTTTGTTTGTCACTGAAATGAGTTTTTCGATATGGTGGTTGGCTTTGACTGCCATGGACCTTTAACCGGATACAGATGCACTCAGATTGTGGAAAAAGATGTACATTTGTTTGTACTTTCGATATTTGTAACCGGAAGAAGATGGTGCGTTCAACTGGAGGAGAGGTCGAAACCTCGCGCCACATCCGGCGTCAGGATTGGTTAGGTTTTGCTATGAAGAGTGCTGATTGGTTGAAGTGAGACTGTCACACAGTGAGCCAATCAGAGGCAGGGTAGGAGCGGGTGTTCGTAAAAGAAAACAGCGGGAGGCGTGATCGTGAGGAGCTGTGTGTCCGGACAAGTTCCTGAGACAACATCAGGAAACACAACCCGAAGAAACACAGCTACGCTGCCACCCCGTTACCCCGAACCACAGGTAACACCTACAGTGATTCTGGACGTTGTGCTTGCAGCCGGCTAAGAAGAACGGCTCAGTTCCCTGATAGAATTCAAGCTAACATGCTAACTCTGTAGACTAGTCGCCGAGCTTCACCCTCGTTGGTTGAACCCTCCGCTTCTCTGGTGTTTTGAAAAGTTTCGCTCCTGCCGTGAGAATGTGTGGAAGAACCGCGTGCACTTTGGCTCCGGACGAGGTGAGCCGAGCCTGCTCCTACAGGACCCGGGGAGGGCAGCGCAGACAGCCCCGCTGGAGGGATGGAGATGCTGACAAATACCGACCTTCCTACAACAAGAGCCCCCAGACCATGAACCCCGTCCTGCTGTCCCAGAGGCATTTCGACAAGGTAAGCGCCGGATTACACCACGTGAGTGAGAGACATGAAGTGAAGGACACTAGAGAGAGAGAGAGGGATCGTGTGAGGGTTTCACACTACATCCTTGATAGATGAGGAGAGGAGACTAGTGATGTAATCAACCTGTAAAGTCACCGTTGTAATGTATTGATGCTAGTTTTAATGTTAATTCAGGGACATCAACAATGTATAGTATAACCTGCGAGCTAAAAGAAGTCGCCTCATAAATCATTAACACACACCTGTGAGCTATAATCATGCGCAGCACTCACTATGTTTGCATGGACAGCAATATTCCGATTGTTGACCTTATCCTGAATAAGACGTCGTTTTGGTGAGGTTGACATGATTCACTAATAGAACGTACCATAAATATTCCTGTTTACATGTTACAATATCATCCAGAGTCAGATTCAGTTTTACTTCTCCCATAGCACACGTTACAGCCTAACATGGGAGGGAAACGCTGTACTCCAAATGTGAGGGTGCAGGTCACATTTTAAAAGAACCTAAGATACACCCATGTTATAAAAATCATAAAAAGAGCAGCGTTAATAGTCAGTGGTCAGTCAGTGGACATTTAAAGTGGAGGTGGGAGGGGTCAGACATTATGTTAGTGGTCTTTCTGACACACCAGCCTGTGTAGATGAAGGCAGAGAGAAACCTGCAGTCTTCTCAACAGCGCTCACTAGTCTGTCCACGGAATCAAATATTTTATTAGCAACTCATATAAACATCAATATTGAAATGTCTTATTCAGAATAAGGTCAATAGTTGGAATATTGTTTTCCATGTAGGCATAGTCACTGTTCTGCCTCAGGATGATAGTATGTACTTACTGCCCTTGATTTCATCGATGCTCATGTTATTGTGTCCACGCCTCGTGTGTGTTGTCAGGATGCTCCTGTGGATGAGTGTGTGTTGGCCTCCATGCGCTGGGGTCTCGTACCTGCTTGGTTCAATCAGGGAGATCCGAGCAAGATGCACTACAACACCAGCAACTGTCGCAGTGAGAGCATACTGGAGAAGAAATCCTACAAGGTGTGTATGGTTAGAGACACTGCAGTGTTCAGCTACTCACCTGTTTACAGGCTTTATGTGTTGTGGGCTTCGGTGCTCTGATCACTCCCCTTTCTCTCCAAAGCACCCCCTGAATAACGGACAGCGCTGCGTCATCCTGGCTGATGGGTTTTATGAGTGGAGGCGGGAGGAGAAGAACAAGCAGCCTTTCTTTATCTACTTCCCTCAGACTCCGGCAGGATCTAGTCAGGATCAGGGTGACCTCCCGACCTTGGCTCGCAGTGAGGAGACTTCAGAGATGGTATGTTCAGCAGGCGGGTCCCCCCTTGACTTGATCGAGGTTCGCACTGGATTCTCTTCAACAGTATGCAGCTATGGCGGAAATTAAGAATGGCTGAAAATTTCCTGTGTGAGAGAGGAGCCGAGGCAAAAATGCGCATGTGTCCACCAGGTGTTCCTTTAGCACAGAGATTTATGACCAAAGCCTGGTTTAGTTTTAATGTTCGTACGTAGCCATGGACTGAAAAGTCATAAAACAAAAAAAGTCAGTCTCCAATATTTTCAATATACAAACATTAACCATTTAAACCTTTATGAGACTCTGTCTGTTTGTTCTTTGCTGTGTTGGGCAGGGAGGGGAAGAAGCACCATGTGAATGGACAGGCTGGAAGTTGCTGACTATGGCTGGACTGTTTGACTGCTGGACACCTCCTGGTGGTGAAGAGCCCCTTTATAGTTACAGTATAATCACTGTGGATGCTTCCCCAAACCTGCAAAGTATCCATGATAGGTAAGGACAGTAGATGGGCAGATACACTCCTTCACCGTGAGGTTTTGTTTTCATGCTGGTGTCTGTGTGTCAGCACTTTTACACAAAGTGCAGAAGTAGATTTCTCTGAATTTCTCATGGAAACGATTCCAAGATCGTTGAAAAAAATGCCTAGAGGACTAATGTCTAAGTGTGTGTGTGGAATTTGGTGCAACTTGATTGAATTTAAGAGGACTATTTGGCTTTGGTGGAGTTATGTGTTTACTGAGTGCCATTCTAATTTCATTTGTCTGTGTGAAATTGTAGCTTACTGTGTGCTTGTCTTTTAGGATGCCAGCTATCCTGAACGGCGAAGAGGAAGTGAGAAGATGGCTTGACTTTGGGAAGGTGAAGTCTCTCGACGCCCTAAAACTGCTCAAGTCTAAAAACATTCTGACTTTTCATCCCGTCTCATCACTCGTCAACAATTCGCGCAACAACTCTCCCAAGTGCCTCCAGCCTGTGGATCCAGGCAGTAAAAAGGTCATAAATTTAAACTCATATTATTTTTTTGCTCATTTTCTGGGGAAAGTAGAGGTTTCATCTGATAAATCTGACCTTTGACCCATAGGAGACCAAACCCACAGCTAGCAGTCAGAAGATGATGAGCTGGCTGAAGAGCAGCTCAACCTCAAAGAGGAAGGAGTCGGACACTCGTGAGAATGAAGAGCAAGAAAGAAAGAAAGAGACTCAGCAGAAGTCTAAAGGAGGTCTACAGCATAAGAAACAAAGAACCAAGTACTGAAAACTGCATATTTGATAACCATTTAGTTCTCATTGAATCTACGTTACTGTTTTTAAAGGCATGAGAAACATTGTATGTTAAGGTTTTTGCTAATGCTAGTAAATATCTTTAATGTAGTAAATGTGTTTCACAGATATGACTAATAGTTCAGTATTTCATTAATGTCAGAAATAAACAGTGCTTTATTCAAGATTTTTATTACCCTTATTACTTGAAACGCAAAGACATTGAAACAATGTAGATCCTATGCATTTATCATATTAATAATAATTATGATGAATGCCAATAGCCCCCCGTGTTTTTTTTCCTCTTTTCAAAGTTGTATGTAATCTTTAATGAATTTCAAAGTTTTAACACCAACAGATTGGTTAAGAGATGTCAAGCACTTTAACTGTTCGCCAACACGAGCAAGTCAGATATGGAGATTTACAACACAACCTTTTCAGCTTTCCCCCAACCATGGTCGAGAGGTTTGCAAATATACAAAGTCTTGCAATAGTTGACAGTAAAAAGAAACGTACTAGCTAATAGTACTCGGTTATGAGTGATATTTATACTTGAGAAAACTCTCCTCTCCAGGACCGTCAGGTAGAAGGACATGCTGTCTCGATTTGGTTCATTTCATGTCAAATGTTGTACCAAGAACATAGTAAAAGACAAACCTTCATTTTCTCCAATAGAGGAACAGCAATATGTTAGTGACAGCACTTTACACCAAGGATTCTGGATAAACATGATGTCCTCAGCCTGAGCTACAACTGCAAATGTATTGTGGCTCCAAAATGAGATGAGTGAACAAGTCTTCGGTTACTGTTCAAAAAAAGAAAAAAAATATCTGTACACACGCATCTGATGGATTTTTCATTGAATTGTATATTCAATTCTTTGCCAATGAACTAAAACCAGCAGGAAGCATATCAACGTGATCCACACATGCACTTTGTCACACACTGATCCTTCACCACGTCACAACTCACTCCCTCTTCATGTATCAGTTTAGTTTATAAGCCTGCAGGATGTACAGTGAAAACATGGTGTCAAGTGATTTTGAGTGTGAAAGGAATTTAAGCCACAACACAAACAAGTAAAATGAAAAGGGGGGTCGGCGTGTCCTCTATTCATGCAGCAGTGGTGGGCTGTGAATGTAGGAAAACACACCACAACTGCCCAAGAAAATTTGATTAAAAAAGAAATAAAAAATGAATTTATCCAACTTAACTCAAACACAAACATGTATAGATAATGCTTCAATCTACCACTTTAAGTATCCAAATAAAAGCAATTAGAAGCAAAACTGGGTGTGAAAGCAGCGATATACATGGAACAGAAAATGAGATTTAGCCCAAACCACCACCGCTATGACAAGTGTGGAGAGAATGGGAAGTAATCATCATACAAGTAAATGCCATGATGTTTCCTTAACGTGTTCTTTGGGCTAGGAGACTTGTACTTTATAGAAAATGTGTGATTTGTATACATAAGGAGGTGAGTGCAGCATGTTTGTGTGTAGTATACTCTATGAGTGGGATGCTGCTTGTATGTTGGGCAATAGGGATTAACACAGTGGGTCATGGGAAAAGGGATATATAGACAAGGCAAGACAGGGTGGTGAGGGCAATGATGTCCCCCGCAGACCCCCGATGATCCTCAGACTCCTCAGCAGCTGCAAGTCTCCGCCGACGGCTTGGCACGCTCGTTCCTGTCCAGCTTGATTGGCTCTGGGAACTCGTTGTACAACTCAACCTCAGTCTCCTGAAATCAAACAATATGTGTGATTGAGTGAGTGTCTGTCTCAGCTCCTCCTGGCTTCCATGGAAACAAATGATGACAAATGTTATTTCTCAACATTAATGATGAGACTCGGTCAAACTGTCTACTGGAGCCATGTCTCAATTCAGAGGCCGCATCCTTCAGAGGTTGCATTTGAAGCGATCCTCAAATGCCCCTTCAAATGTGGCTGACGAAGGCATAATTTCATCTTCCAAAAACAAAGGATCCAACTGGTGGATCCTTCATGGGCCAAGCTATCCCAGGATTCATTGCACTTCAGTGATAAACTGTATTTCAAAATAAGCAATGGTGTCAGAAAGCTATGAGACATTAAACGCTTGCGTATCACACTTCAACTGAACACATGTTGAACAAATTAAGCGGTATTAAAACTTTTTCGTTGTGTCCAACTTAAGCTCTGTTGCTAGGCAAAAGAAATAAGGGCCAGCACGGAAAGCTTTTGTAGACCAGACCATCTCATTTCGGTTCAACCTACCCGGCCCACAAAGACTGCCTCCTTCATGGGCCATGTAGGCTGCATCTTCTGAAGGAAGTGGCCCCTGAATTAGGACACGGCTATGACTTTTCTGCTGACTTCCTGTTACCTGTTTAAGAGCGTTGCGTGCAATAGTCTGGAAGGCCTGCTCCACATTGATTGCCTCCTTGGCGCTTGTTTCAAAATATGGGATGTTGTTCTTGCTCTGACACCAAGCCTGTGCCCTCTTGGTTGTTACCTGAAGCACAAAAGAGCAGAAGTTACAAGCAGAATCACGAGAGAAATAAGAATGACACTTTCATCTGAGCTATTTCAGTACTGTCCCATTACTCTGGAGTCTGAAGTCCCAGTTGTTGCTAACCTCAACTACACATTTGCTTGAAAAAACAAACATTGCAAAACATTGATAATAGATATAAACCTGGTGCTTTGGACCCACCTGTCTGTTCTCCAAGTCAATCTTGTTGCCCAGTACCACAAAGGGGAAGTTCTCAGGGTCTCGAGGGCTGGCCTGAATCAAGAACTCGTCCCTCCAGCTGTCAAGGGTCTTGAAGGTGTTGGGTGCAGTCACGTCAAACACCAGGACGCAGCAGTCTGCTCCACGGTAGAACGCAACACCTAAGGACTGGAACCTCTCCTGACCTGCTGTGTCCCAGATCTAAGATACACAAAGTGAGAGACACAGAGTGGAGAAAAGTAAGTAAGAAGGAAAACAAACAATGTTCACATGGACAAAATAATCTGACCACTGAAAGTCATTAAGGCAATCTCTTTGATTTTGGTGTTTAAATAGTTAACTTTAACCAGATCTGCCTCATTACCTTTGTTTAAACCATCTAAATTAAAAGTATGTAGAGGATAAGTTTATTGACCACTGATTGAATTTTGTTGTCTGCAGTATTAAAAATAATTTGTTGATCTGACATCACTGGTAATGGTGCTGTTTGCAAGAAGAAATAAAATGGACTCAGCTTTATAGCCACTTACTCTGTCAACTTATTGGTTTATGTATCAAATAAAAATGTGATTATAAGCCAGAGTATAGAGACCAATGACAAATCTCTTAATTAAGATATGCTTAACTCTGACTTTGAGTCGACTCACCCAGTGTTTAATTTACAAAAGTAAAGGATGGACGCACATTCTCTCACTAACCTCCAAACTTTAGTTTTGAGTAAATACAGCTGTGATTGCGAAATGACTGGAGTTGTGAAATTATACATCTAAAGATAAGGCTTGAGACTTGTTTTCATTAATAAATACAAAAGACAGTTGACCATTAGTTGTGTCTAATAAATTTGAGGCTATAAATTAAATATTCAAATAGAAAACTTTTATAAAAAACTCAAAGAAATAATGAATTTTCTGATTGATAAACCATAAAAAGTCCATCACAATGTGAATAAGCATGTTTTTTAAGTATCACAACATTTTGAGCCTTATAGCATACTCTTTAAGTTTTAAAAGTAATAATAGCGTTTCAGTGAGAATACACCATCTCAGTGTGACATTCCTAAGAGAACTATTTCTTCAGTACCTGCATTGTGACAAGTCTGTCGTCCACCATGACTTCTTTTGTGAGGAAATCTGCTCCTATTGTGGCTTTGTACTGGTTACTGAACTTCTTATTCACATACTGGTTCATCAATGAGGTCTTTCCAACTCTAGAGAGAAAAACAATCACAAGACAACATTCAGAAACAAGTGAAACAGAAAATGTCACCAGTATGATTGAGCGGTGAATCACACACAATTAAGTGTTTTGCAATCATGTGATATTCAATACCCTGACAAATGTTTTATATTTACAGAGAGTTGCCTGATGTTGTTCATTTAGAGTTGAAGCTAATGTTCAATACCACTCACCCAGAGTCTCCGAGGATGATGACTTTGAGTAGAACTTTCTTCCTTGACGTCATTGTGCCACAGCTGTAAACGACAACAACACAGGTTATGGGGGAAATTAGAGAGCTCCTAACAGAAGCAGACATATGCTAGAATTGCTACAGAGAGGAACACAGCTTTGTCGATGACCATCTTGATATGAGCAAACAGCTTTTACTGAAAGATGATAGGGTCTGTGAGCTTCTCAAAATACACTCCAAAGAAATGGACAAGTTCTTGGAAAGGAAACCAAGTACAAAGTCTGCTACACCACAGTTTCCTTTACTTCAGAAACAAAGAAAAATAAAAGAATGGACCGAACTGTACCATGAGGAACTACATGCAATTATTAAAACAAAAAAACAATGCACCACACCCTTTTATTTATTTTTCAAAATGCTGGACAATTGAGTGCTAGGGTTGTTTAGATAAATCTGCTGTATGGTCACTCCAACTGTTTGCTTTCGTTTTACTATAAAACACTGATTTTGTGATATCAATGTTTCTGACAAACCATTCAATGGAAACAAATGTACTGTTTCATTACCAACTTGCAAAGTTTGGAGATTTATTAATCTGAACATTATAATATTTTAGAAATTGGAACACAGACACACAGAGACTCGGTTTGTCCAAAATATACTGAATTGGACCATTGATTTTTAAATAATTAGCCTAAATAGTAAACTCTACTCTGCGAGCCACGAGTCACACTGTATTTATTATCTTCCCAGACCTTACAGATTCACTGTGAATATCCTCACACTGCAAATATTTCTTCCTGTCTTTACACTGTATATAGTGGTTTAATTATCACATTCATATGTTTCTATATTTCTATACATTTTTTAATATTCCTTACATTTAAGTATTGCATGTTACTTATTACTTGCTGATGTCTTTTTGACTCTTGCTGCTCTAACACTGCAAATTTCCCCATTGTGGCACCAATAAAGGTATTGTGTCACATTTCATTGACACATGATCATCAGCTCATCAGATTTGATTATTTCCACTAAACTACCTGTGGTTTGGGGGAACGTTCCCCTTTTCWTATCTTCTTATGAGATGTCTGACATGCACCAACAACACCRAAACAAATTCCATGTATGTGTAAACTTACTTGGCAATAAAAGCTTTTCTGATTCTGAGTAATTCTAAGATTTTTTCATAACGATTCTGGAAAATGATTCAAAGGTTATGAAACATGTTACTTTCCGGGTAGTTTTCATAAAAGTTCTCACAAAGTAACTATGTAGTAACTTCCGAAGAAACATCCGACCTCCTGTTAGCCTGCACTTTCAACGCTGTATGAATGTAACTAGCAGCCACAACGTGGTCTAGTGTGTAACCTGTGTGGTTGTATCGTTCTCTAAAAGGTCTCTCCGTCTTACAGATTTTTACTAAAACTGAAAAATAAATAGCTACATCTTATTTGTTAAATTTGGTTTAACAGATGCTCATAAATTAGAACTCAGCTAAGCCTAATGTTATATCTGCTTCCTCCATTTGACTGACCTCTATTTCCTTGATATCCAAGATCCATAACAAACATCTCCCCGCCAATCACATATTTGTTATCTAATGACGTAGATCTTCAGACGCACATCATATTTTTGGGTTGTAGCTGATCAACCATTATCATCCTTGCGCATGCTCAAGACATCGAGTGC